TCCTCCTTGTCTCTCCTCCTTGTCTCTCCTCCTTGTCTCTCCTCCTTATCTCTCCTCCTTATCTCTCCTCCTTGTCTCTCTCCTCCTTATCTCTCCTCCTTATCTCTCCTCCTTGTCTCTCCTCCTTGTCTCTCCTCCTTGTCTCTCCTCCTTGTCTCTCCTCCTTATCTCTCCTCCTTATCTCTCCTCCTTATCTCTCCTCTTTGTCTCTCCTCCTTGTCTCTCTCCTCCTTATCTCTCCTCCTTATCTCTCCTCCTTGTCTCTCCTCCTTGTCTCTCCTCCTTGTCTCTCCTCCTTGTCTCTCCTCCTTGTCTCTCCTCCTTATCTCTCCTTTTATTTGTGTGTTACTCTCTAGTGGCCCAATTGATGGGTGGTTGGCGGGTGCTCTGGTGTGGTGTACTCCTTCTTTCCTACCAAACATCTATCGTCTTTATCTCTCCTCCTTCTATTTTGTTTGTTACTCTCTTGTCACACCTCTAATCTTCGGCGCTCATATGACCGTAATGTGTTGCAAGTGCCGTAAAACTCTTACTAACACATAACTTAGGTTTTTGTAAGAATACACCGAAGGGTTAGGTGATGAACGTTCTTTTTCCTCTTTTTTTTTTCCCCCAGTGTCTGAAGACGTACCTGGGCCACAAGAATGAGAAATATTGTGTGTTTGCCAACTTCTCTGTCACCGGGGGAAAGGTAAGGCTCTGCTAGATCGCAGCTCTCATGTCTCAAGACACCGTCTGTCTTCCTCATCATTATTATCACCAGCACCATCATCATCGTCATTATCATCACCATCATCATCATTGTCATCACCATCATCATCTCCACCACCATCATCACCTTCACCAAACATCTATTGACTTATCATTCTTTTTTTCTCTTTCTTGTTTTCTCTGCATGTCACTCTCTTGCCAGACTCCTGATCTTCAGCTCTTATGTGACCTGTTTGTGATTGCAAGTACCGTAAAACTCTTAGTGCGGGTGGTTGGCGGGTGCTTTGGTGTGGTTTGCTCCTTCTTTCCTATCAAACGTCTATCGTCTTTATCTCTCCTTCTTTTTTGTACTTGTTACTCTCTTGTAACACCTCTTATCTTTGTCTCTTATATGACCTTATTGTGTTGCAAGTGCCGTAAAACTCTTACTAAAAAAACCCCTAAAACTCTTAGTAAAACTAAAACTGATTTGTAGTTCCAAAAATAGCAATTTCGTTTGGTGTATGGTAGTTTAGTTGCACTCCTTGACTCAGATTGTTTGCACTCACTGACCCTGTCTCTTTGCCGTTTTATGGGTGGTTGGCGGGGGCTCTGGTGTGGTTTGCTCCTTCTTTTTTATCAAATATTCTTATCTCTCCTCCTCCTTTTTTGTGTATGCTACTCTCTTGTTTGTAACACCTCTAATCTTTGGCCCTTATATGACCTTGTGTTGCAAGTGCTGTAAAACTCTTACTAAAACTTTAAAAAAAAACAACCCTTACTAAGACAAAGTGACCCTCACTGTGTGCTGTTTCAGTGGATCGTCTCGGGCTCGGAGGACAACATGGTCTACATCTGGAACCTGCAGACCAAAGACGTGGTGCAGAAACTGGCCGGACACACGGGTAACTATTTGTTGCCGTGCAGGCGACGTATCTACTCTGTGGTGTTTCCTCTTGTGTTGTTGGGCGTCACATACACTGACCCACAAACTGGATGGGTGGTTGGCGGGTGCTCTGGTGTGGTTTGCTCCTTGTGTCCTATCAAACGTCTATCGTCCTGATCTCTCCTCCTTCTTTGTGTTTGTTACTCTCTTGTGACACATCTATTATGCAGGGCTCTCGTGGCCTAGAGGTTAAGGTGTTGGCCTCTCACTCAAAAGGTCCCGGGTTCGAATCCGGGTAGCGACCGAAAAATTTTCTTCTCTAAATTTGTCTCCCTTCACCTCATTTCCTGCTCTCTAGCAATGTTCTGTCGTCTGCTTTCGTCTC